AGAGATGTTGGATATTTGGAACATTACTACAAGACTGAAGAAGGGCAAATGATATTTGACTTTCAAAAGAGAATGAAGAACTGAATCTACAAAGAGACCAATGAACTTGACTTTTATTCCAGGAAATTTGATAGAATGAAATATTAAAAGGAAGGTTGTGATGATCACAAAGAACTTGTATGTCCTCACCAAGAACAAGTTAGGTTACATTAGCCTTACTTTCTTTTTTGACAATGTTACTAGAACAGTAGTACAGAAAGATGATGCAGACACATTTTACCTAGATTATAGCAAAGCATTGGATAAAATCTATTATTCTTTTCTTTTACAAAGGCAGATAGACATGGGTCAATGTAACTATTTGGACTCATTGAATCATAGCTTTAGATCCAGAAGGGACATTAGAAGCCATCCAATGTAATCCCTTCATTTTTTTTTGTTTCATATTATAAGATTTTCTATCATCAACTATTCTACCAAAAAATGCAAAAGCAAAACAAGAAAACTTTACCCCATATTCAAGTAGAGAATATAAGTTATAACCAATTACTGTACCAACTGGCAATTTAGTAAACATGTAATTGTATTCCATTCCCATAACAATAAAGAGGGAGTATTCAAAAGAAATACGTTGTTTTTTACATCAATGACCTTAAAACACAATGCCATTATTGTGTTAAATAAATGCCTGAAGCCATTATCCAAGTGGCACAGCCATTTTCTTGCTATGCACTTCTGCAATTACAAGTCACACTTTTATGACTTACAAAATGGCACTTATTTAGTGAAGCTTTAACCTTGAAATGCATGATCTAACATCCACAATCTTTTGATGGTTTACAGCTAACAATGGGGAAGAGATGTGTTTTTCACCAGCACTTGTTTGACTGAACTAATGTGAAAAATCCATAATGGAGTATAGTTTCCATTCTCTACCAGATATTTTGGAGAGAGATATATAGTGATGACTGTGGAACATTTTAAGATCCAAGAAGCACCTGGCATTTTGCCGGTCTATTGTAAGTGAGCATCATCTCTTCTTCCATTGTTTTCCTTTGCCTGCACTTGGTGTCTAGATAAGGTGAATGTTTTGACTTCATGGATAACTTGAATTTCCTCTAGTTCTTACTTTTCTTCAGCATGCTCATTATAAAATTAACTTGATGTTTTTGTTTGCTCTCTTCTACTCTCTTTCATGGCCTCAACTCTTGTGTTTGTTAGGCTCATTCTACTTTTTTCAAATTCAAATTAATTATCCACTATACCGTTTTTTGCTGACTGCCTCTTAGAAGACCCCTGACCTTAGGAAGACTGTGGTTCTTTTAAAAGCTTTTATGGCATTTGACTTACAAATCTGAACATCTTGCAGTTGTTGTGGACAAACGTGCTATGTCCCCGGTACTGTGGTCCAGAACACAAATAACCCTTCTCAGTGAACATCTTGACATCAACCTTCCAGTCTTTATGAAAGCCCCAATCATTTTACACTTGAAGAAACTGAAGCCAATAGAGATTAAGTGTCTTTTTCAGGGTCACACAGCTGGTGAGTATCTGAGGTAGGAGTTGAACCCAGGTCTTTCTGACTGCAAGTCCAGCAATTTATACACTATAGCATGTTGATAGAATGACTGAACCCTAAAAGTGTTCATTAATGGTTCAACATTAACTTGGAAGGAGGTCTCCAGTGAAATTCCTCTAGAGATTTGTGCTTGGCCTTATGTCTTACATTTTGCCAATTTGGGAATACACACACACACACACACACACACACACACACACACATTTATCAAATTCATAAGCGTCATAAATTTAGGAGAGATAGATGAAAGAGTTAAGGTGAAGAGAGATTTTGACAGGCTAGAATATTTGTCCAAATAGCAGCTGAAATTTAATAAGGAAAATATAAAACTTTTTCTTAATCTTTAGGGCCAAAAATAAAGGTTTTTTTTTATTTTAACACTGATTTTCTAAGTAGTAAAACTTTTAAAAATGTCTTCTGTTATTTTGTTTTAATATGATTTTAGATGTCATTAATCAATTAATTAATCAACCAAAAAAACCCACATTTATCAAGTGCTCTATGTGCCAGGCTCTGTGTTAAGTACTGGGAATACAAAGACAGAAAGGAAATAGTCTCTGCCTTCCAAGAGCTCACATTCTCTTTGTGAAGCAACATGTGCACATATAACTGTGTATGACATGTAGACAAAGGAAATATATGGTCATTTAGAACTGGGGTTTGGGAAGACCCTAGTGGCTGGGAGGATCAGAAAAGACATTCATGTAGGAGGTGAGATCTAAACTGAGTTTTGAAGGATGTTAGGAATTCTAATAACTGGAGGCAATGAGGGAGTGAATTCAGGAAAGATGTACATAGCCTGTGGAAAGATAGAGAGATGGGTGATGATATGTTAAATATGAAGAAGGGAAAGAAGGACATTTTAACTGGACGATGGTGTGTGAATGTGAATAATACATACAATTAGCCTGGAAAGATTGACTGGAAACAGATTGTGAAGGGCTAAAAATATCTAACAGAAGAGTTTATACTGGATCCCAGAAAAAAAAAAAGGGTACAACTGGGGTTTGTCAAAGAGGAAAATTGCATGTTCTAACCAGTGCTTAAATAATTATGCTATAAGCTATGAATCATAGAATACCACAAACTTGGAAGAACTGGAATTGTGGGTCATCCAAAGAGCAATGGAGAGGTGGTCTGTGGACGAAGGCTGCAGCATATGTCCGATGGCAAATTGTGTGCACAAAATAGCACAAAATATACCATCAAGGTTATATAAGATGATGTATAAGAGGAAAAAGATGTGTGTGGGTCATGTTGTAAAAGCAAGGGTAACGGACTTACAGACCAAAAGTTACATTGACACCCACAAGAAATCTAGAGGAAGGCCTCAACACTTAGGATGGAGGCCTATGAAGAATCTATGAGAGGTAATGGGTGAGTAGGACAGGATAAGGTATGGTTAACTTGTCATCTCTGCTGCTGAAACACTGAAACACTATTGAAGTAGTAATTATGAACCTGTTTCTCCCATTCCAGCCCTTTAGGATATAGCAATAGAACTCTCCAATTATGTAGAGCAGAGAAAATCTGTTCTGGGTCACTCCTTTCTAAGGAAGAGCCAAGCTTTCTCACTTCTGATATGAACCTGTGGAGGGCTTTCCTGTGAAAGCATCTTACACCAGTCATTTAGTCCAGAATATAAAAAAGCAGATGAGAGATTTCTGGCTGTTACATTTGCCTAGGATTCTCTTTATTCTTATCTCTGTCTCCTACACTCTCTGGCTTCCTTGAAGTCTCAGCTAGAATTCTACCTTCTCCAAGAAACAATTCTGCAAGAAATCTTAATGCTTTCCCTCCAATTTATCCTGTGTATATCTTGTTGGTATTTAATTGTTTTCACATTGTCTTCCCCATTAGATTGTGAGCCCTTTGAGGGCAGTGACCATTTTTTTTTTACCTTTCTTTGTATCCCCAGCACTTATCACAGTGCCTGACACATAGCAGGCAGCAAAATGCAGCTTTAATTACCCTCCCCACCAAGTGCCTATTTTGTGCCCCAGGAGTACAAATATAGAAATAAAATGTCTTTTAAAAACTTATCTTGCCTGAATATTACTTCTATTTCTCTGACGCTTTTACTTAGATGCTGTAGATCTCCTAAAATCATAGATAAAAAGAAGAAAACCTCAGGGGGCATCTAATCCTTCTTTTTACAAATGAGGAAACTGAGACCCAAGGAGGTTAAATGATGTTCCCAAGCTTGCAAGGTTGTAACAGTGGCAAAATTTGATGTCAGGTCTTATTGACTTTAGAGTCACTGTGTTTTTCATTGTACCCTTCCTTCTTTAAGTGGCTATATCTGGGTCTTTTAAGAAAATATAGATGACTCTGGGTTTTCTCTTCTAATAGGTAGTTAATCCAAAATGGTGCTTAATCCAAAGGTCTTTTATATTTATATTTTAAAATCCATTATCTGAACTTTTAAAATTAGGAGATAAACATTTCTAATTCTTTCTACCCCTCCCCCCTCCCTGGGCAGATGTTGAAAAGGTTTGCATTCACTCTTTGGTAATCAAGAATGTGCTGGCACCTACAGGTCTGCATTCTGAGCAACAGTTCTTGGTTTTTGGTGTTGTGATTGGGTGGAATGTTTGCTGACCTCAAGACATCCCTTGGGAGCTATTTATTTTTTATTAAAAACAAAAATGAATACCTTAAAGTAACGAAAAGAAACTCACTCAAATCCCTGATATTGTTTTTCTTAATCTCTTCTGCTTAAAACCATATAGTTCGGAGTGGGAAAAAACTGTCACTTGAGGAATTGAAGATAGTGGCAGTATGAATTTTATATGACTGAAGGATCTCTCTCTCTCTCTCTCTCTGTCTCTCTCTCTCTCTCTCTCTGTCTCTCTCTCCCCCTTTCTCTCCCTCTATCTGTCTCTCTGTCCCTATCTTTCTTTGTCTCTTTTATTCTCTCTGTATGTATATGTTGGAGGGGCAGTTATGAACTATTTTGTACATACACTTTTAAGTTGTAGCAGAGCTTATTCATTAGTCTGACTAATTCAAGTTAACTCATTCCATCTTGCAAAGGAACTCGATGTAATATGAAATAAAATAAATTACTTCAGTTTTAGATTATATGTTGAACCCATTGCAGACTGAGACTGATTTGACCCAACACCCTCAAATAACAGCATATTTTTCTAAAGGGAGAAAAGAAACCCCAACACCCACTAAACAGTTGTCAGTCTGGCCTTATGTGAAGTGTGGAATGATAAGTGACTCTGCCTGGCTGACTTGGCCTTGTTTAAATGACAGGGTCGTAACTACTATGGAGGAAAAGTAATAACCAGCCCCTTTTCATTCAGTGCCTGTGTGTGAATTATGTCGTTCTAAAATCTGTCAGTGCCAATATGATTTGAAAGTCACAATCATAGCCCCCTACAATACAAATACTGGAGTCAAAGCCACCAGATAATTTGTGTATGCTATTTATTGATTAATCTGAACAGTGTTCAATCTGTGACTCTGTAGTTCCTATGGATTTCAGGTTTCAAGTCACAAACCATGCCCAGAAGTTGCTTCATCACATTTTCCAAGCTCTCCTTGTAGTTACCAGTGAGGTTCCGAATCTTTCCTGCTGTCTGTTCATCTATCTCAACTGAGAGGTTGCTTTGGGAACCCATTATCTGCAAAGGCAAAAAGAAGGAAACTCATTGAGCCAAGAGTTATTTATTATTATCTACCCAGCTTGTCAATGACTTTATATTTTTTACTATAAATACTTCAGAAATATTTGAAATGACCCCTAGAGAAATTTAATACCTTTTAATTTATATATTATATCAATTAATAAATTATATAAATTAATATATTATATAATTATATTATATAGATTTATATATAAATCATGTAAATTTAATAAAATTTAATAAAACTCAAAATACATATATTAGACACCCTGAGTAAAGCTTCTAGACTGAAGTCCTCTGAGTCCTGGCAAATCAGAAGAGTTTCAAGTATCTCCCTGTGATAATCCTAGAACCAGACTAGTTAAGGCCAGATATATCAAGGGATAGAGAGAAACCGAGATAATGAAAATATTATTATTTCAAAATTAGATGAATATTAATTAATATTAATTATCTCTTAGATGGGAACTCAGGAAGCCTCTGTGTGCAGAAAGGGAAAAACTGTTTTCAGCTATTGACAGTGAAAGGCAAAGTGGCTGGCCGTCCATGTAAAGGAACAACTTGGGCTTTGAGTGCCACCTGGTGGCTAACTCAAATATTGCACGCTGAGTTACTTCAAACCCCATTGGCTGGATTTTAATTCCATGTCATTAATGACCATCTCTTTCCCACAGCAACTCATGAAACCAGCTTCTAAAGTACGGTGCCCTGTACACCCATAGTCCGTATAACGGAGAATCCTTATATCAACTCCCACTCTCACAATTAGTCTTGAGTCCCAAAACAAGGCAAAATCTTTCTTTTAAGGTTTTAGGGTAATACTCCTGAGGGTTCAGGAGTTTCATTAATGTCCTTGACTCAAGTCTCCACTGGAGTGCTTACCCCCAAGATTGTTGGTTGATACTCATTTAGTCATCTGGAATTTAAAACAGCTGATACAAAATCTCCTCCCCAAGCCTACAACGTGAGTACATAGAGAGTCCAGGCTCAAGCTTTGAGATCACATGTGCTAAAAGGTAACTCATAGCTCCTGGTTGAAAGTTTTTTGTCCCATTTGGGGGATGCCCACTTAAGAAGTTCCACTTACACACGTGATAATGTGTCCTTGTGACCTTGGCTCCCCACACTTGCAACGAGTGGGTGCAGCTGGGGAAAGAGGGAAGGCTCACTATGGTACCTGAGTGAGGCAGTGAGGAGGAAAGGGATATGGGCGGACAGGGTAAGTGGGAGAGGGGATGGGTTCCATTATAGTCATTGAATTTAGCAGGTTTCAAGGCATGGAAGTTTGAAGGACTAAGACAAGACTGGTGCAACATGGAGTAGTCCAATTTGCCTGGAGCACCAAGTGTACATAGAGAATTGTCAGATAAAGGTGGAAATGGAATTTGGAGCTATATGATGGAGTTATATTATGAATTGTAGGCTAAGGAGTTTTCATCTGATAAAAATGGGGAGTTCCAAAGATTTTTGAGCAGGAAAGTGACATGCTCAGACCTATGCATTATAACAAGGGGGGAGGGAGGGACCTGGAGCCTCGAGGCCACATGTGGCCCTCTAGGTCCTCAAGTACAGCCCCTTGATTTGTTCTGTGAAGTTTGGATTCAGTCAAAGGCTGCATTTGAAGACCTAGAAGGCCACATGTGGCCTTGAGGCCCCAGGTTCCCTACCCCTGCATTATAATAATGAAAACTCAGAGTTTCTAGCACTTATAGGTTTACAAAAAGACATTCTTCATAAAAACCCTGTGAGGATATCTATTATTATCCCCATTTGATGGATAAGAAAACTGATAATGTTCTCTGTGGTCAAGAGACTTTTCCATAATCAAAAAGCTACCAAATATCTGAGGCAAGATTTAAACCCTGGTCGTCGGGAACCATAGATTTGGAGCTAGAAGATCATTGAGTCTAAATCCCTTATTTTACAGATGAGGAAACTGAGGCTGAGGAAGGTGAGATGGCCTGTTCAAAGGTCACACAGACAGTAAGTTGCAGGGCCAAGATTAAAATACAAGTCATTGGACTTCATATCTACTTTTCCTTTTGAACTAACAATATTGCCTGAATCTGTTTAACTTCTTTTTATTACAGCACAGATATTAAGAGGACTGCCAAAGCAGTGATGTGGACAGATGACAGGGTGGGACAACTTGCTAATCCTTTTAGAGACATTTTAATCTTTATTTCCTTATTTCAATTCTCAATTTACCACAATGCTGAACTGACCTCTTTAATAATCCTAGAATCTCTGGCAGTAAGTTAATAATCTGTAAATTAAAATTGAAACACAGTGTGGGGAAGCTCAACATTTGAAGCAGCTGTTAGATTTTGGGGCTCCATGAATTTAGATGGAAACAAATTACAAATCTATTTCACTAACCTCTAACTGAAATTTGATATTTTCTTCAATTATGAATGAAAGCAACAAACATTATTCTGAGAAATGGACCTTAGGATTCACTAAACTGCCCAAAAGGTTTCAAAGGATTTAAAGGAATTCTGCATTTTGTAAAATTAGGCTCTTCTGTAAAACCAAACATTGAGTCCCAATTTATCTGTTTAGGAAGGTCAGTTTCATATTTCACTTTGATTTACGCGTATGTGCCCTTTCTTTGTTTTCTTTTGCTTAGCTTTTTCTATGAGCATTTGGGAAAAGTATCCAAGGTACTTAGTACAGGAAAATCAGTGTAAGCTTCTTCTGGAGGGCTGTGAAAGTCTAGTGAACTTCTGTGCTCATTTGATCTTCCTGAGTCCTAAACTTGAAATCAAATGAGCTTGAGTGTATCCAGGTTCTGGTCCTGTTCTGTTTATAGTGCAGGCTAAAGTTGACTTCCCAGTTCAAAGAAAAACAGCTTTGAAAGGATGTTATAGCTCCTTAGACATCCAATAGTTTATTCAAAATAACATTTTGAGAGTTAAGCATAAATGAATCAGAACCATATGGATTGTGTTTTCCTTGTTGCTCATAAGGTTTTAAAAATATGGGGAAGATGACTTATCAAAATATGTTTGGGGTTTGGCCAAATCCTAAACACATTTGAAAAATAATTTGGGGTATTTCCTGAATTTTCAAGGCTGTCAGATTCACCATGTTGAAATGAAAAAAAAAAACCTTCAATAATTAGAAATGTCTACTTGACAGAGAACTGTCTGGAGGCTATTTTACATGTTTTAGTATGTGGCTAAGGGTTACAGCTTCAGGGATAATAACCCTCAGGATGCTTGCAAAGAGCTTGCTTGCTTGTTATTCTGTTGGGGGCAAATAGAAGGTTTTACAAAAGCAGAGCTGAAAAGTGATTTCTCTTCCTTCTTAACATGTGGAGTTATCAGTTTTCTCTCTCCTAAAATGTAGTCCAGCTAATTCAGTATAACTCAAATTGAGCCACTTTGAAAGAAAATGCAAAGATGTAATTACGGTGGGGGTATCCAGAGCCTCCACTCAGTGGTGGGGGTGGGGTGGGATATTTATACTCTCTTTATCTCCTATCCAGCTCTTTAAGTGGTGGTCATTCACTTTCCCCTCTCAGTCACTGATGGGAAATTATATTCACTTTTTACTTTTCAGCAGGATAGAAAGGTTGGAGTACCCAGGATGTCCTTCCTAACTCACAGGGCTGCAGTTGAAGTAAACCTCTCCAGGCAAAAACACTTCTAATTATACCTCTGGCAAAATGGCTTGAGTGGATTTTGAACTCCCTCCTTACCCCTCTCTCCTGTGGTGTTTCATGGAGGACCTTGGTGGTGTATTAGGAAGACAGTTCAAATCCTAGACATTTACTAGCTATGTGACCCTGAACAAGTCACTTGGTCTCAATTTCCTCATACATAAAAATGGGAATAATAATAACAGCACTTACCTCAAAGGGTTGAGAAGATCGAATGAGATGATAAATGTAAAGCTTTTGGCAAACCTTAAAGCACTCTATCTATCTATCTATCTATCTATCTATCTATCTATCTATCTATCTATCTAATCTATCTATCTATCTATCTTATCTATCCATCCATCCATCCATTCATCTATCCATTCATCCATCCATCCACCCATCTATCCATCCATCTATCCATCCATCTATCTATCTATCTATCTATCCATCCATCTATCTATCTATCTATCTATCTATCTATCTATCTATCTATCTATCTATCTATCTATCTATCTATCTATCTATCTAATCTATCTATCTATCTATCTATCTATCTATCTATCTATCTATCTATCTATCTATCTATCTATGTACACATACCTATATACACATGTGTGTATGTATTGGCACGTTCGTGTGTATGTAAGGCAGCCAGGTGGCACAGTGCATAGAGTGCTGGACCTGGAGTCAAGAAGACTCATCTTTGTGAGTTTGAATCTGGACTCAGACACTTAGCTGTATGACCCAAGGCAAATCTCTTTAACCCTGTTTGCCTCTGTTTTCTCATCTGTAAAATGAGCTGGAGAAGGAAATGGCAAAACAGCCTCTGCCAAGAAAACCCCAAATGGAGTCATGATGAGTGGGGACACAGTTGAAAAATGACTGAACTGAATAAATACACACATATGTTTATCTGTCATCTATCAGCTCTCTCTATGTACCTACATCTATATATGCTACTGTTGTTTCTGTAACCTTTAGATAGTGATGTTTACAATCACTATTCCATTTTTGATGTATAATAAAAAAGTATTGCTGACACCACATTGAGTTGGCTTACTACAATGAAGATCAGCATATCTTTTTGAGAAGCTACAGACAGAATGTTAAATTTAATGGATTATGATGGATATGGGACCATAAGTATCTTTGTATGTATTTTGGAAGCATCACATGGAACTCAATATGATTGTCCCAAAGACTCTTTCTTCTTCAGACTCTAAGCAGGTCTTCCTGCTTGACCCCAGGCTTAGGTTAATCATGATGAGTTTCCCCTAGGTTAACAATACAATGAATACTATGAGGTCACACCAAGAGTAGAAGTGCTGAGATGGTTTTTATAATAAGCCTTGGGCAGAGCAACCCTGTGCACTCTGGCCTTTTTCTGTGAACACAGTTTGATCAGCCAGCTGTGAAATTGGCTTAGGCTTGAATTATGAAAATGATGAGCTTTTATTCAAGTTCAATGCCGATGGTTAATTTCCTGGACTAGATTTACATCTTATGCAACTCCTAGGGAGGAATCTTCTTAGCTGTTGCATATCAAGAGATTCTGCACCCCCACAGTCCTATGATGTACAGTGTTAGGATGACTTTGGTGCTGGTTTTTTTTTAATTTTAAGGCAGAAAAAAGATAACAAAACTTCTTTCTTTCTTTATTTTTTTCAGTACAATAGCCAAAGGTGCTTATAGTTGGGAAGACTGTATTCCTAGTTACTCTTGTCTCATGAGCTCATCATAGTTGAACTGGTAAGGAAAGAGTCAAAGAAGAAATATTTCCCAAGACACATGATTCTGCCTGATAGATGCTCCTTGATTAAAAATAGATCTTTCCTATGTCCTGTTTCTCAGACAGGGATTACAGGAATATCTGTTAGTTTGAAGGGCATTTCCCAGTTCCCATTTCCAAACCTTATTATGTGTACTCTGACTATCAATCCCATGTCTCTTCCTTCCCTACCTTTCCCTGCCCCTCTTCACCCCTCCTCCCTCCTTTGGACTATGCCCTTGGAACCATCTTGGGCTCTGATAAGTGAGCTTTCATCTTTTCTTGTCTGGAACCAAGCCTCTGCATCACTTTCTAGTCAATATTTCCAGATGCATATCACTTCCCAACCCCACTCCACCCATGTATTCTGGTTCCTCTTCACGTATTGTCTTCATCCTATGAGAATGTAAGATCACTTGAAGGTAAAGACTGTCTTACTTGCTTCTATTTACATACTCAGTGCTAAGTACTTACCTGGCAATTAGTAAGCATTTAATAATCTCTCTATCTCTGTCTGTCTCTCTTTCTCATTGCCTGTGTCTCTGTCTCTCTCTGTCTCTGTCTCTCCATGTAGTCGTAGTCAATCAGTTGACTAACATTTAGTAAGTACCTACTATGTGCTACTATGTGCCACACACTGTGTTACATACTAGGGATACAAAAAAAGGGCAAAAAATAAACAGTATTGAGGCTCACAGTCTAATGGAGGAGACAGCACACAAGCAACTCTATATAAACAAGATCTCTTCAAGATAAATTGAGAGTAATCTCAGAGGGAAGGCACTAAGATTAAGGAGAAGTGGGAAAGACTTCTTGCAGAAGGTAGAAATTTAGCTAAGACTTGAAAGAAGAAAAGAAAGCTAGGAGTCAGTTATAAATCATGGATTTATATGTAAGAGAATTTAGTAGGCATCGAGTTCAACCACCTCATTTTAGAGATGAGGAAGCTGAGGCCTAGAAAAGCAAAGCAACTTGCCAGATTCTCACAGGTAGTAAATGGCAGATTTAGAATTCGAATCTAGGTCCTTTGTCTCCAAATTCAACATGTTTTCCACTGTATTACACATTATTTTTTTTCACTTTTATTTATATTGATATACTAAGGGATAATAATTCTGTTTATAAAATCATGTGATTTCTGATAAGTAATTTTTTTCTTGTAAAAGTTGATCTTTTAGTTCTTACCAAATGAAGAAAAGGAGAGACAGTGCAGCTTAATAGCTAGGGAGCTGGAGTTAGAGTCGGCAAGATTTGTATTAGCTGTGTGATCCTGAGCAAATCCCTTAACCATTTCCGTGCCTTAGGCAGCTAGGTGGTGCCATCGTACATAGAGCTCTGGGCTATGAGTCAGGAAGATCTGAATTCAGTTCTGGCCTCAGACACTAGCTCTGTGACTTTGGGTAAGTCAATTAATCCCATTTGCCTTAGTTTCCCCTTTTGTAAAATGGCTATAGTAATAGCACCTATCTCCCAGGATTGTTGTGAGGACCAAATGAAGTAACGATTTATAAAGTGCTTAGCATAGTTCCTGGCACATAGCAGGTACAATTTAGATGTTAGCTATTACTGTTGTTATTATGATGATGATGATGATGATGATGATGATGATGTGAGGGGGTCTGGCTTGATGGCAACTGAGTATCCTCTATGATCCTGCTTTTACACCAAAACAACATTATTCACAAAAACAAAAATTATAGGTGAACTCTAGAAGGTGTCAGAGAATGAAAGTATTTCCTTGGTTTCTATCATACATACTTTAAAGAAACTGACCTCAGAATTTATTAAGTACCAAGTCTTTGGTAGGTACCTCCTTTGGCAGGTAGTATACAGATATAATGAAGGAAACGTTTCCACTTAAAAGAGTTTTCATTATAATGGGGTAGGCAGCATACACATAAATAAAAATATACAGAATAAATACAATTAAATTAAAGGCGGTTTAGTGCAAGATTCAGGAAACATTAGACGGCCTTTGCACTCCCTCAAATTCTAGGTACTTCATATACAGACTATTGATCCTAAGAAAATGGTTTCCCAGGATATTATTAGCACATTGTAATCAAACCCCATCACGTTGTTTGTTACAAAAAACCCTTCATTACATTGATGTATTTATAGTATATTGCTGTGGGGCTGACTGCTTCCTTTAATGTTGTTTGGCTTATCATAGGGTTTGGGGTGGGGGAGGGGAATCAAGTGACAACAGAAGGTAGACTATGCTTGTATGCCTGCTTTGGTCATTTCTTTATTTCCTGTCACCCAAGAAAGCTCTTCGATTTGTACATAAGCAAGAATATATAAGAAACGTATTTTATAAATAGATTCTTTTCACTTTAACATGTGCTGAGGTTATTCTTTCATTTGTGGATGGCATGTTACTTTTGCCAGCCACTCAGTCTTAGAATAAATTTTTTTTAACAAACTTCCATGGGAAAGCCCTAAAAACAAACAAAAAAAAGCTTAGAAGAAAAAATGGTAGAATGTATGATTACTTAAATGTTTCATTGTTTCATTGGTATAGGGAAATTCCAGTAATGAAATTCCCTGAAGACAACTAGAAGATCATCTTTCATTTTATTCCTTTAATATGCAGTATTATTGCTGCTGCTGCTACTACTAGTTGGCATTTACATAACACTTATTATATACTAGGTACTGTGCTAGGTGTATTATCTCCTTTGAGCCTCTCAACAACCCTAGGAGGTAAATGCTATTATTATCCTTGTTTTACATATTATGGAAACTAAGCAAGACAGAAGTTAAGTGACTTGCCCAAGGTCACATAGCTAGTAAGTATCTGAGATCAAATTTGAACTCAGGTCTTCTGATTCCAGGGCCAGCTCTATAGCCACTATGCCACTTTGCTGCCCCAGTCTAGTTAATTTGTGAATATGCTTTCTCTCTCCACTGGAATAAATAGGGACTGTGTTCTATACAGAGTAGGCATTTAAATGAATGTTGAAATTAGCTGAATTGGATTGGCTTGAATTATCTTCTCCACCCCCTTCATTCTACCAATGAAGAAATTGAGACTAAGAATCAGGTTGCCCAGATAGTTGAATGTCAAAAACAGCTATATGATCTTGGTCTTTGTACACCCTCTTCAATGTTCTTTTTAGTATGTTATACTGTCTCCCATGGGACTCTGCTTAAAATGCTGTGTAAGAAATTAACTGACATTCATACTTACCAAAGATTGTTTTTCCCGAAATTCCTTTTCTTTCTGCATCCTATACTGCTCTATTTCAGCCATTGCTTCTTCTTTTGCTTGTTTTAGCCTTTTGCCTTTTCCTGAAAATTAAAGGAGGCATCTGAGGGCAGCAGAAAATGAGGTCCTTTTGAAGTGGATTATATTTGGAGTCAGAATTCTTGGTTCAAATTTGGGGTCTGCAACTTATAATCTTATATGACCCTTTAGTCTTTGGGGCTCAGTTTCCTTATCTCTAAGTTGAGCATATTGGACTAGATGTTCTCTAAAGCCACTTTCATTTTTAAGCCTATGAGCCTATGATTTGATTAATATATATATATATGCATGTGTGTATGTGTGTATATATATATAATATACACACACACATACATATCTATCTATCTATCTATCTATCTATCTATCTATCTATCTATCTATCTATCTATCTATCTATCTATATCTCCACACATATAAGTACTTGCTTACTTACATACATATGTGTATACAGCTAGGGAGCAAAGTGGGTAGGGTGCCAAGCCTTGAGCAGTAGAACTTGAGTTCCAATCCAGCCTCAGGCATTTACTGTCCATGTGACTGGGGAAGTTACTTTACTTCTATTTATCTCAATTTCCTCATCTGTAAAATGAGGATAATAATAGAACCTACTTCCCAAGGTTGTTGTGAGGATTCAATGAGATAATAATTAGCACAATGCCAGGCACATGGTAAGCACTATGTAAAGGTTAGCTATTACATACACACATGTATATGTATGTGGGTATGTATACATACACATAACACATCAGAAGGAGAAGGTCAGGTTATTTTCAAGGTGGCAATCAGTAGAATCACATTACCAGGTACTACATAGTTGTTAGAAGCTTGCAAAAGAAACCAAATTTAGTTACACGGATCCTGAAACATTTTCCATTGGATTTCTTTAATGTAATGGAAATGACAATTTTCTATTGCACTTTCATGTTTAAGTAAAATAGCTGTCTCTTTTATTCACAGCAATAACAGCCGGAGAACAGATTTTAGCTGTCATTGGTTGGGAAAGACATTATTTGGTCAAATTTTCAGTCTTGCTTTGCTGCCAGGAACCCTGTTGTCCCCACCAACTGGATTCTATTTAACACTGGCAGCTAGCCAAGTCCCTACAAACCTGCAACTCAGTCTCTACCAAACTGGCTTACATTTTTGTTTTTGCATTTTATTGGGATTTTTCCCTTAACATTTTCTGCCTGTAGAATGAGTGATTAAGATTAAGAGCACATCAAAGTAGGTTTTGTATACTAACTTTCTATGGGGAGACTTGAAAGGGATTGTAAAACCGATTTTTTTAATGGCAAAGAGATTCAGTTAAATGGCCCCTCACTTTTATTAAGGCCAAGGGTATAAGCATTAAGTCCAAAGGCTGGCAGACTGTACTGTAAAGTTTTAGTACAAAGGTAATGCTTTGGGTAGCATTGGTTAAAACCTGAAATTAACATCTTGGACTACTGGAATTGGCTTGGTAGTTCAGAGGACCAAACAAAACTTAGGACCTTCCCACCCCTAGCCCCAGGAGTTTGATGGTAACATTGCAAAACTCCTTGGTCATTGTTAAGATTAAACTTTTTAAGAATCTCCACATCATATTCTAATTCTTTCTTATTTCTTGTCTTGTGCATCCCAAATATAATGTTCAGGTAATCTTGTCTCTCCTTCTCTCAAGACAATGAAATAACACTTCTGCACTCCTTCTTTCCTCCAATATGGTCTGTTAGGTAGACTTTAGTTAAATTAGTTTGTTTTAATAGGGGTGGTATTATAGGGTGGTCATGTTTCTATATTGGCTAAAGGTTTACACTGTGCTTCCATCTCAACGATGCTTCAAGTATGTAGTGCAAGTGATATTATTTCAACTTGACAATTAGGAAACTGATTTGCAGAGACATTAAACAATGTGCCCCAAATCACACAGGAATAAATGTTAGTCAGGAGTTTTGGCTAGAACAACGTTCTTTCTGCTAAACCACGCTGCTCAGCCACAATGATGTTATAGCATAAGATAAGTTGATGTATAGGAAGGTTCTGTGAACTTGTCAATATGGGAAACTACCTTTAGTAACATAGGTTGCAACCTATAAGGGACAACCCTGAATCAGGTGTGTATGTTGCTAATTCAGGTTTGATTTTAGAACAAAATGAGGTACTTATAGGTCATTCAACAGTTGGCAAAGGAGGTTTACTTAGCCATAGCATAGGAAGGATGTTCAACAAGGATACTCTAGCATTTGATTGGCTAGTGGTGCTCCCTTTGTGTTTATACGGAAAATGTATCTGTAGCTTGTGCTGACTTGCCCAGTGTTGGGGCATCTACCAAGTCTGAAGGGCCCCAGCTCCACATAGGTGAATCTTTTTTTTTTAATACCATTAAGTGACCAGGAAGCCACATTATTACGTCAAGAGAATGTTTGGAAGCAGTGTCAAGGGAGGCAAAATTAGCCTAACCCATGTTACTTGGCATAAGGAGAACACTAGTAGAAAATGATCCTATTATACAAACCAAATATGACATGGTAGATAAGTCCTAGAAAGCTAAGTGAGGAATACAAAAGCTTAAGAAACTTGTATAAGTTAGCAATAATCACATAAATTAGCAAGTGTCAGAGGCAAGATCTGAACCCAAGTTTTTTTCCATTCCAAGCCGATCACTCTGTCTACTATGTCATGATGGCTCTTATATAAGTATAAAACTCAGGAAATATAACTCTTTAACTGAATGTTATTTTTTTAAATAAATCTATGATTTTGCAGGAGTAGACAACTAATACTTGTTCCTATTTCAGGTGGGGTGTTTTGTTAATCACTGAATGAATTTTAAGCCAAAAAACTCTATTCCTGGGTAATGAATGGAGAGTATCAGTATTTCTATGAATGTTTATGATGCTTAAATTGCTTTGTATCACAGACTGTTCAGGACTAATATCACTGCTATTGATCTCTTAAAATCTGTGACTTAGCTTCAGGACACAAATTTTCTGAGCTTAGCTCTGCTCTTCTCTTTCTTCTTCTTGGTTGACAGTGGAATAGGAAGCACTTCTTTTCTTTCCTCCGCTCTCCCTCTCTCCTTCCCTTTTCTATTCCTCCTTCCTTCTTTTTTCCTTCCTTCTTCCCATCATTTCTTCCTTCCTTTTTTCTTCACTCCCTCCTGCCTTCTTTTTTTTCTCCTTCCTTCTTCCCTTCTTTCCTCCCCTCCTTCTTTCCTTCCTTCTTCCTTCTTTCCTTTTTTCTCCCTTCCCTGCTTCCTTCTCTTTTCTTCCCACTTGTCTGCCTCCTTTCCACCATATCTCCATTTTTCTGTCTTTTCCTGCCTCCCTTCCTGCCTTCCTTCCATTTCCTCCACCTTCACACTGAGATGAGGATCCTTGCTCTGGATATTCTGTTTTTAGGCATCTTTTCTGATGGGTAGACCAGCAGACCATTCTTCTCTAGTGGCCTCATGGGAAGGTTCTTTTGGGCCAATCAGTAAACAAGCATTAATTAAGCACCTAACTCAAGCATTGATTAATAATCCATCTCATCTTTTTGGAGGAACAATTGCATATCTCATATCTTTGGGATTACAAAATTTTAATTTCATTATACAGTTGTTTTCTAATACATTTGCATTTTTGTACTATAATAAGCATTTTTCAAATAGTTTGTGATTTTTCTATCAACTTAACTTTCTTGAGCAAAATCAGGTATTTGCTTTTAATAAAGTTGAGCCTACCAGGCCTTCTAATGTCCAGTGCCTAGAAAGATGCTGACAGTATGACCCAACATATTTGGGATATGGCAAAGTACCATGTAGACATGGAAACATGGAACTAGAACCCAGGTCTCCAGTCTTTAGCCTACTTCTCTTTCCTCTGTAGCACACAGCCCTCAAGAAGTCCTCACTCAGCCCTGCAGGGTGCAACTAGGACTATAGGTAGAAGTTGCAAGGAGGCATATTTCAGCTCATGATAAAGAAGAAATGCCTAAGAATTGCAGTTGTGTAAAAGAAAAATCGACTGCCTAGGAAGACCAAGAATACCTTTTTACTTGAGGTCTTCAGTTGAAGCCTGCCTAGCCCATCCTCAAGAATGCTGCACCTACCTCAGTGAGTAATTGGTATATTACCTCTGTATCCCGTTCCATCTTTTGAGATTTAGAAACAGAGTACTAGAATTAGAAACAGAATAAAAGCCCATTGATTCTGGAGTGGCTTAATGAATTGTGGTGCATGAATGTAATGGAATACTACTATGCCTAGGAATACAGAGAAGCACGGAGAGCTTTACATGATCTGATGCAGAAGGCAATAAGCCAAGAAAACATTTTACGTAATCACTACAGCAATGTCAACAGAAAGAACAACCACAAAACAAGCAAATGTTGAAAATTGCAAAGAATAAGCAATATCTCTCCTTTGAGAGATATGAGGAGAGATATGAGAAGACAGTCCCACCCTTGCCTAAGGTGAAGGGTTCACAAATGTGGAACACTGCATGTATTTTTAGACTTTTTCAATATCTGATTTTGCTGATTTTTTTCTTTTTTTCTTCTCCATTTATATATAAAATTTGTTATATGAGATTGCTCTATGAGAGGGGTTGGGGAGGGTTACTGACAGAAAACTAGTGATATAAATTATATATATGTATGTATATAAACACATACATATGCACACATTATTTTTAAAACAGATTATATGCTACCATGACTTTAGATAAGCTTTAATAATTCCTGATGAGATAATGTCAAAGCCCCTTTGAGGCTTTGGTATTGATGGTATCTCCATATGACAAGTAAGGAATGTTGGTTAGAAAGGTAGAAACGGCAATGTGATCTTACCCCCTGGGTTTAGCATGTCTTGATACTTTTTACTCAACCTCTCATTTATATGCCAGAATAGAAGAAACTTAGGCTTCAAAAACTAGGCAACCTTGAACCCTAGTGTTGTTTGGTAGCTATTACACAAATAACCATTCCCTGACTTATAGCTTAGCCTTCAGAGATTGAAAATTGGAACATATATGGCATGTACACCATAAGCTAGAATGAGGTCTCTGAATCCAGGAAGAGGAGC